GAAAAAAAAGCGCGCTAACCTTATAGTAGCCCTTATCCGACAAAAAAGAGCCAGGTGCTCTTGCCGCCACCGGAAGGGCCGACCAAGCCGACGGACTGACCTGCCTGGATCTTGAAGTTCACCCCCTTGAGAACTTGGACCTGGCTCCGCAATGACGGTTTTCTAGGATTTGGATTGAAGCTTCCTCAGATCCTGCATCAACAACACGTGATGTAGAGGAGGGTCGGGGAGGTGTCTTCGGAGGGCAGTTGTTCTAGACCGTCCAAGCCCAGGCAATACCCATGTGTAATATTCAATGAGACTTGTGGCAGAAGCCGGTGCGATAGACAAACCAAACATCTAAATATGTCAGACAGCAAATACATCAAGAACCTGTATGCATGCATGTTCCCCTGCAAGGATGTGAATCCACCCATCCGCCCACACATGTGCAATGTTGCACACATGCATGGCAGGTTCCAGACACAGACACACACACACACATGTCTGTCTGTCTTGCCTGTCTGCCTGTCAGTCTCTGCCTGAGTGTATGTGGGTATGTATGTATGCATGTATGTACGCGTGTACGTACGTATGCATCTGTCTATGTATGTGCTGTCTGTATACATGTATGCATGCACCCATCCATGTACTTGTAATATAAGCAGATAACACTTCAAGCAGCCATGTACACTTCTCGGAAGAAAGCCGGAGATGCAGCGTTGGACGGAGGGGTGGACAACGCGGCAACAAACACACGAGCAGCAATATAAGCGACAAATCAGTTAACTAAGTAGATCGCCGAAAACCCCACAAAGCAGGGGAAGCATCACAAAGGTTCATGGTTTCGGACATATATGGTTGTCAAAGGTCTTAACCAAGAAGGTCAAAAAGTTGGCTCTTCGTTCTTGTGTTGCCCCCAAGAAGTTTTGGCGCGCGCAGCGCTGTTTTAGGCTTAAGGCTTGCCAATCTGCGAATTGCAATGTCTGGGCTCACTCCTCTTCACATGCCTCAATTGCGGAATTTGTGGCACAATTCAAACTCCACTCGCCATGACCTCTCTTTCCATTTTGCCAGCTCACTGTGGCACACTGGTGGTTGGGAGCCGGTTGATCTCTCCGAAGTCCGCCACCATGCGAAATTCAACGAGTCGTGGCTCATCAACCGCGACTCGATTAGCCCGGCTCCTCGCAGTGTGGCATTGCGGCACCACTCCACCATTTCGTCTAAGCAGACGACACAACGTGATTCTGGAGCATTCTGATGGTGAGCATGCTGCCAACTCATGCTGCCGACCATCCCCGATTTGCGCGCTGACATGGCGGACATGGCCTGTAAACTGACGACTAACATAGCTGTCAAGCTTGAGGCGCTGATTGACATTGTTCCGCACCCATGCGCTCCTCGCGATGGCCATGCACTTCTCGACAAGCACTCCTTGCAGTGCCACTGCAGTGACTTCCGCAAGGCACTCTATCACATCCTCCTTGGCATATAGGGGAGGCTCTTCCATTCCCAGTGGACAGGGACACAGCGCGCCCCACCTACATGCCAACTGACTGCATGCCGCTGCACCCCCTTCGCCGGCGTTGACGGCGCGCCCCCACCTGCATGCAGCCTGCATGCATGCCGCTGCGGCTGCGGTGGACACAGCAGGCTCCTTATTTAGCTAGAGCCCCGAATAGCTAGAGCTTTCTGTGGAACAAGACAAGACGCGAACACAAACACATCAACATGCACACAACACACAGCCATGCAAGCACTGGTCACTAGTCAACCTATAAAACCCCTAAGCTTCAAAGCCTAAATTCCAACCACTCCCCACCTCTGGCCGGAAGGGGTAAAAGAACTTCACAGCTTCGAACTCGATGGTTCCAGCATCCAGCTTGCTCGGAATCTTACGAGGCTCCCAGGGACGCAAGAGCGCAACACGGTGTCTGTGGGGCTTGGGTTTTCTGCGATTGGGGTTTACGGCTTGGGAGCAGCGCCAGCTACAGTCCGGGGCTTAATTTTTAACTGATGCTCAGAAGCATTAAATAAAGCATGCAGAAGGCCGTGACTTCTTCACTCGTTAACGGGCTTTAAGGGTTCCCGCAATTTGCAAAAGGTTGATAGCCCCGTTAAATCCCTCCTTATGCGCTTAAATGACAAACGTCTTTCAGAATCTAACACTTTGCCTATGTTTGTCCACTGCAAGGTTTTGAACAGCCTCGTCTGGCCCGACATATAACTTCATAAACGCCGCTTCTTCTTCTTCTTAATGGGGTTCCGGAAGCAAGGGAGAGTTACTTTAACTAGAGATCTGCAGGGTTCTTCTAATGCAGCTCTCAATATTTCGGGTCAAACACATAAAAGCCCACTTACCTTCAACAAGGGGCTTCGCCCTTGGGTTCCAGGCCGTCGATCTTGGAGACGCGGTCCAGCAGCTTGAACATGTCGTGGCAAGCTACCTTGAACAAAGCTCAGCGGAAGGAGGGGTCTGTATGCTGAAAAACACAAGCCGGATTGATTATATGACTGAAGAGAACCATCTGCCCGAAACAACTCTACCAACATGACTGAATGGGCAGCCTTAATGCCCCCAAAATTCGTACCTTCAAGGTTCGTGGCAATGTCGCTACGACGATCTACCTAAAGCGTAAGATAGCCCAAAATCTTCTCGGAAAGCCACGTCACTATGCTCAACCACTAAACCCGACGGGTTTCTGCTTCGGAGGTTGGGATGTCATCGGCAGCATCCCGATTGCCGAGATGTGGCTTTGCATCTACCTGCTACTAGTAGTCAATGTATGGCCATGTTACCTTGGCCTTTGCTGCATCGCCCATAAACACAGCAGCCTGTCCGGCACCCAACCCTGCGTAGAAGATGCCCATGAAGGCCATCATGGTGTCGTTGAAGCTGGCCACGCCTTCCCTCCTTCAGAACCGAAAGATGCAATCGCAAATCGAGCCAATGGTTCGTCTCCCATATGCAGGATCAGTTTGTCAGCAAGGCTTCCGAGGACCGGCTTCTTCCTATGACTTCTATATTCAACACTCTCCACCGAAAACGATTGTAGCTTCAAGTGAACTCATGACCCGGCAACTATCATTTCTTACATTGCCAGCTCTTGCTGCTGTTGGCATACAAATATTCATTCCGACTGCGCATTGACACCCCCACGCCCCAAACCCTAACCTTGAACCCTTGAACCCTGAACCCCGAATGCCTCAGGACCGAGGCATAGTAGAAACCCCCGGCGATAACGAAGAACATCACGCCAGAGGCAACGCCGAAGCCGAGACCGGCAAGGAAATTCCGGGTCCACATGCCTTGGTGTTGGGACAGGGATGTAGGGTTTAAGGAACTTGGTGTTGAGGGTTTGGGCGGCTTATAATTGTAGTGTTTACGGCTAAGAGTTCAGGGAATCAGAGTCGCTGTTGAAGGAGGGACGAAAATTAAGGGTTTCCATTGCTTCTCAAGTTTGTTTGTTAGGTTGGAATGCAGCTTCCAGTGGCACCCAACAAAGATGCAAGAGCTGCTGAGCTAAACTACTGAGACTTGCTGAAGTGCCCTTCGTGGACTTGCCGACCAGTGAGGTGTACATCTGCACCAGGCTTTGTTCCACGCCGAGGGCCTGGACGGTGCGAGCATTCATGACAGAGTCGCTGACGATCTGGGCGGCATGCTTGATTCCCTCGTTGTCTACTTTGGAGGCTCCGAGCATGACCAGCATCTGCACGGAATTTGCAGCGATCATAATGGGCACGGTGCCGAGCATGACCAACGCCATCTGCCAGCAGTAGATGAATGCTATGATCACGCCCACGAGCACGGAGCTCATGGCCGCAGCCTTGGCGCCAATAGATTTGCAAAGTGTGCTCACTCGGAAAGCCCAGAGCTCCAAGGCTTTGGACATCATGCCCGGGGTGTTCTCGGGATCATCGTGGAAACCGATCTCCTGGCGGAAGATGGCTTTCAGGATATCCACCCGCAGCCTCGCGGTCATGGACTCTGCCAGGACAGCAAAGCCGCCATGCTCGATGATGTTGCCGATTTGCACGGAGGCCGCGATGATAATGAAAACGAAGCAAAGGAAGACGATGTCGTCACGGGCCTCGTCCCGCACAGTCGCGAACTCCAGCTTGAAGAAGGCGTCCATGGACCCCACCAGCGCCAAGGCGCAGATGGGAGCTGCCGAACCCTCGATCAAAGCACCCAAAATGGCCGGCACGAAGAAGGCCCACTCCGGTTTGTTGTATCCCAGGAGTCGAGACATCGGCACTTTGTACTTGTCGGTGATCTGCTTCTCCCTGTCCTCTTCTTCCTTCTTCATGCGCTCCTGCCAAGGCCCTAAGCTCTCGACTGGTCACCCTGAAGCCCTAAATGCGTGTTGTCGTGTTGGTCCCCACGAAGAGTGAAACCCGAAGTTCTGCCCAAAAGAGTATCCTGAAGACTGACTAATAAAGCCTCTGATTCCGAGGCTCAGACTTATAAACCCTCCAGCCCAGGCCAATCTATGAAGCCTGAAGGGCTCTCCTTCCGAGCCATCTCCGACTCATCGCTCTGGCCAGTGTTCTGTCGGAGAACGGCCACGGTCGGCTGGTTCGGCAGCTCGAGCTCCTCGGCTTCCTCCGCCTTTTGAGAAGACTCCTGAAAAGGAGGTTGCAAGGCTTTGTCAGACGTTTATGTCGGCGGATTGAGTTTCAGGGGGTAGTTTTGGAGGGATTCGGGCGGATTCGGGGAGGTCGCGCAGCTGGAGGAAGGCCTGGGCCGCGACGAGCGCATAGTAGACGCCCTTCTTCTCCATGAGGCTTTGGTGGTTGCCCTGCTCTACGACCTGGCCTCGGCTTAAGACGTAGATCAGGTCGGAGTTGCGGATGGTGCTGAGCCGGTGCGCGATGCTCACGATGCCGAGGCTGCGTGTCGTGCTGCTGATGTTGTCGATCCTTTCAAGACAACTTGTGATGCAAAGAAGCTCCAAAGCCTCTAGCCTTGCAGGCGATGACCGAGTCTGTAGAAGCCCTATCGTACATCCAAGAACAGCTGAGTATCGTCTGTTGGATCATCTTCTCGGACGTGTTGTCCAGGGCGCTGGTCGCCTCATCCAAAAAGAGGAAAGAGGCCTCCTTCAGCAACGCCCTGACACGGGAGCTTTGAGGGGGCAGCCAGTTTCGGGGGCAGTGGTGCTTCGCCGGGCCTCTTTCTGGGCAGATAGAAGGAGTATCTAGCTTACCAGTAACTGTGTCCGTGTACTTTTTTGTGTCTTGCGCCAAACGTGTACTTTCTTTGCTTGCGCTTCTACT